CAGGGCATCAAGCTTGGTATTTTTCAAAGTTGCCACTTGGTGACCAGGAGCCATACAATGGTACCAGAAATAAAATACTTGTTTCCATAAAAAACCTTGTGCAATAAAACATGACATAGTGAATTGCCACACAGTGCTTGTCATTAAATGCAAAGCTCTCTCATAAATGCAACTTGTTGCATTAGCTTAGAGAGACACAAAACTAATTTTCTTCATAAGCACCCAATCAAACCCAGTTGGTGACCAAACAGTCAGAAGAAAACAACTGGATAGACTAGTACTATTGTTCAAGTTTCTATTGTGCTATCCATCAGAAACACTGCATTGTTAAATTGCTATCAAGACCTTTTCATTCACAAAAGCTTTTTAATTCTTTGTATAAATATAAATTATGTTTCTAGATTTCTTAACTTGCCATTTTTTCAATCATAGCATTAGTATTTAAGTTTAGCCTAATTTTTACGTTGAAATGTGCAATTGCAAATTTTATTAATAATTGTGCAATGCAGGTCAATAAATTTAATACAATATTATTATTTATTATTTTTTCACTGCCCCTTTATAACCAAAACATGGGAGATGTCAACTTGAATGATCAACAGTAAAACTAATATGCTCTGGGCTGCAAGTATTGCAATTGGTGCCACTAATTGTTGTGGTTCCTTGTCAATGTCAGCATCCTGAATGCCCAAATATTTTGGAAACTGAAGTAGAGAAACATTGCTCCAGAACTCAGCTGCAGTTTTGCTTATAAGTAAATTAAGTTGCTGTTCACTTGTTGTTTCTGATGGATGCCTAACTAACACACTAGGGCCAGTTGCCCTTAAGTGAAAGGACATGTGCCTACTATCTCCCCAAGGGGTAATGGGGAAAAACAAGTCATCATCATCGAAATTATAAATTGCTTTGATAGACATCAAACTTACCAGGTATATCTAATGAAGAAATGTGTGGTTGTCAGTGAGGAGAATCAAGTTCTCAGCTGTTGGAGGGTGAGAAAGCTAATGCTTGAAGAAACTTCATCCATAATTATTTTACAATCAGAAAGAGATCACATGATCTCTGTCACAGCATAGTGCACATGATGCGAGAAAAAAGTTGAACCAGAAGATTATTTATATGGACACTTCACTTGTGCCCTTTCTAAAGAACCCAAAGCCACTCCTTTGGCAGCAATGACCCCTGCCCTGAAGAAATTTCCACAAAGCCAGCTCGGACATGTCAAATGTACAGTTAGGAGAGTGACGTCCTTAAGCAAGAAAACTAATTATTTAACTCAACGTTCAAATTGACGACTTACTTAAGGCAATAAAAAATTCTTGGGACTATTCTGCCTGCGGACAGTATTTTGTAAAACACAGTAACAATATAAAAGGCTATATTGCCGGCCACCAGTGCATTAAACACACAAATCATGAAATTGCGAGTCGGCCCAACAAAGATCACGTATCAAAAATTTAGATCATTTAGAATCACATAAATAACAAGTAAAACTTCAGGATGAATGTCTAACCTGCAAATGTGCGTTGTGCTTTAGATTTGATGCAGAGAGCGTCAGTTGCTAAACCAAGTGATTTGAAACGGCCAACTGTCCATGTCACAGAGAAAAAATGTTCGCTTAACTTACCTATGTTAGTGCTGGCGGTTGCATTCATTAACAATTCGAGCCCAATGGGTCAGCAAATCATATATCTGTAGAGAATTTAGCGTCTGATTTCAAACAAACTCGAAGTTCAGCAGTCCACGTTGTCCGCCGTGCCTTCCTGTGAAGTTGTGTGCTGTGCTACACGTGACATGTAACTGAGCAGCGGACTGTCATAACCGTCACGTGACTTGGAGTGGCGTTACTCATGGGGACTCAGAATTTTCTTTGTCCCACGCTCGTGACAAGACGAAAAACATATTTCTTTATTTCTCTACCGTGCTCAAAACTTACCCTCTCTCTTATTTTTCTATCTACAAACACTACGCTATCGACATTGCTGATCCCAGCAGTATGCAGGACGCGTGTCATATGAACTTCGACCTCGCTCACCGTGGTGTCTCTGCGGCTCAGTGGTAGAGCATCGGAGCGCAGAATCCGAAGGTCCGAGGTTCGATTCCTCATGGGCACTCAGAATTTGTCTTTATTCCACGCTCGTGACAAGACGAAAAAAACCTTATCTTCCAATTATCACTTTGCTCGGAAACAGGCGACCAATAAATGAGGACGAGCTCCTCCTGATCGGAGCGCGCTGGTGGGAGGAGGGGGAGGGGAATCATTTGAAAGTTCGAAATCATAACTTCATCAATTTGGTGGTATCTCAAACCGATCATGGACATAAAAAATTGTCACCGTAAAGAGTTTAAAGGCTGACGTTTCGAGCGTTAGCCCTTCGTTCTGACTTTTCAACTCCGTTGTTAACACTAAATTACTTGTTATACTCTCCCACTGACCAAGCAGCACAGTTTCTTTGGAAAATTACCCCCCCCCCCCGGCTTAAGAAAATAGTTATTTTGAGAACTTCCGATAAACAGCCACTGCAAGTGCGCCCTGGCCGAGTTCGATCTTGACATATCCCTCTCTACACTCTACTCTGAGTCGCTAGAAAGTGCATGGTCATTACTTTCGTTCTTTTTTTGTCCGACCGAGAACTACACTCAATGCCTGTGAATACATGACTGAACATAACATTACGGCCACTTCCAGTTACCGGTATATGTCCCTCGTGGAGATATCGCTTATGAAGTTGCGATGATTTCGCAAGCAGAATCGCGGTATTCTACGTTGAACATTGATGGAACAGGATCACGAATAGCTATGAAATAGTCTTTCATTCAGTGACAATGGGGTTAACAACAATTAACCTCCACTGAAAAGGATTCCTAGGGTGCTCTCCACCATGTGATATGACCTTACTCAGGATACTCAAACGCTGCTTAACACTGCAGGAGACTCGTTGAAGCTTAGCCTACGTGTAGCCGAAGTATCTGTAGCGGATTGAAGGCTCTTTGTATTTTTCTAAAGAGACATAGCTATCCTTGTTGATATTCAGACATGATAGCTCGCTTTGGGAATCCTGTTCCAGTGTTATACTTGATAAACAACAACATGATCGACTAAATCTACCAGGCACACAATCACAGAACTTTGCAGTGGAATCAGTGATAGCATCCCCAACCCTCATTCACTGGAAATATACAGTAATGCCATAACAGCTAAGGGAACCCCCTTGGATAACTGTTTTGGCTTTATTGATGGGACAGTTAGACCACTGATAAGCAAGCCTGGCCAAAATCAGTGCGTTGTCTACAGTAAAATCTTACAGTATATAGACTGTGTTAGTCGTATATTACGCCGTTATATATATTCCCTTGTCTATAGTGGTCACAAAAGAGTTCTTTGTGTTAAATTCCAATCCGTGGCATTACCAAATGGAATTATTGGAAATATGTATGGACCAATCGGTAAGGGAAATAATGCAGCAACAACAGGCACTTCTCTTACTAAAAAGAAGTTCGTGATATTTCGTCCAGTACACTGGAGTAGTCGACCTTAAACATACACAAAGTAGATTAAACTTCCAGTACAAAAAAGCTGACAAAACACACTTATCATAAGGTCACCTTTCAACTTTAGAAAAAATAATAACCTGGAGAATACAGGGCAACTTTTCATGGTTTAATAACTAGTTCAGTTGGTTTAATTCACACAGAAAACGAGCCACGAAACTAATATAATAAAATTGTATAACCTTTTTTAAATTTTCCCTTTCTATAAAAAAGACTGGTTAATTAAATGCTATCATCCGCTGATGATAAAGCGGCTGAAGCCTCGAAACGTCAAGATATTTTTTTCTTTATTATAAAAGCGCATTGGATTATTTTCGCCTTTTTTTCCAACAAGGACTTTCTTCCGCTTTTGTTATTCCCTAAGCTAAGATAAACAAAGAGCTTCCACTTGTGAATTTTGTAAAGTGCGCGATGTAAACAATATATGGAAATAGCATGAAAATCGAGCCCAAACATGAGTGGTTGCCGCAAAAATTCCCCTCAGGGGATTTGCCCAGGTCCGACATTATGACACCTTCCTGATTTAATAACTTTCATATGAAAATACGTTTTCCTAAATAACTCGGGTGCTTGTAAAGATTTCTTAAATTTTTTTATGGTAACGTTAGGTTGAATGTTTGTAATCAGTTTAGTCAAATAAAAGAAAAATCGATTTTTTCGGCCTCTGAAGGTGGGAAGTAACCTTAAGTCCAGATGAAAAGTCACCATGTAAAATTAATTGTGAGGTGTAAACTGACCAATCAACCTTTTCCTGAATAATTCATTTCTACTTAGAAAAAAACAGTTTCTGACTTAAAATCAAATCGTGTAAGCTCTTGATTTTGTGAAGAAGCTGATGTTTCAAGTATCAGCCCTTCCTGGAAACAAACAATTTGCTTTAACAAGTGGCTTATGGTTAAGACATCAGCTTTTCAAAATCACTTATAGCAATTTTTCCTTCCTCCACTAACATGTAGTTGGTAACCGATTAATCCTCTCCATTTGGAGTCCAGCTGCACTCTAACAATAAGGCCATTGTGTCTTTTAAAGTATTCTCTTATGAGGGTTGTAAAGGCTGATCCTGATCCCATTTCATGCACAAATTTTAGAAAAATTCACACACCACCTGTCCTTTAATCAGTGTTGATACCTCACAAATTTAAAAGGGAAAATTATGATCTCAATTCACTTTGCCTATCTGTAAAATTTGCCTGCCACAGAGTGTCACATATACACCTTTTGCAACCCTCTCTTTTGAAGGGGGTGTTATCATAAGGCTGGAATGGTATGTATGTGGGAGACCTCTACCCAAGTAAAAATGTTCTTTTAGATGGATATTGGCCGTCATTATATAGATGTTGAAGAATGGAACTGAGCAGGTTGGATAACAACTGTGAACTTGAGTAGCATAATATCAGACAAATTTAATTGAATGAATATCAGTGTAATGGCCTATTTTCATTTGAATAACGGCTCACTTTAATAAAACTTTTCATTTACTTGGATAATCCTCAATTACTTTAGCTATTTTGTATCTCTTGTTTTACTATTTGTCATATACTTTCATTAGCTACTACTAATATGGAAAACTCACATGTAGTAATAAAAGGTGGTTACCACTTTGATGTTCTTATAAGGCCTCTTTTTGTTCTCTCTTAAGATTATACAGTTGAACTTGTATTTAGTGGCACTATCTAAGGCAGGTATAAAGCAGGTCTGACCGTATTTCAACAGACAAGGTAGAACAAATCTATTTGAAAACTCTACAAATCTACAGGCTTTCCTGCTAACATTTATGCCACTCATCAGAGATACAAACTATTCTTTCATACTTGTAAACCAATCTATTTACATGTTCAAAAATTTTTATTTAATCCTTTAAGTCCCACTAGTGACCTAGACAGACTTTCTCCTTACACTATAGTACAATATCAAACAAAAAAGTGACGAGATTAAAGAAAAATACCAATTAGGGGATTATTGGTTGATCCAATTCCAATTCCCCAAACTAACATCACATGAATTGTATGGCAGACAGTAAGGAGAATTACTGATGAGACTGTGGGCATTTAAGGGTTAAGTTGATAATTTGTAGTAAAAGATGACCACCATGGGTGCTGAATCATAATATATTTGTACTGAAAAACCAGTAGCAAATCAAGATAAGACTGTCCATAATAAACAATATAAATAGATACATTTACTGCAAGTAATTTGTATAAAAAAATAGGATAGGTATATGTAATTGTAACAAAAAGTTATAAGTACAAGGAAAAATTACTCTTTTTTTTATATTTCTAGTGGGGAACATAAAATCTTTCCATCTATTAAAATCTAAGCAAGAAGCAAAACATGCTATGTATATGTTGGTAAACTTTCAACCATGAACAAGTTTAACTCAGCCCAAGGGAATTTTTTTATTTTCTTGTAATGTGAGTTTAGGGGTGGCTTCTGATGAGGATGTGAAACTTTACCTCTAATGGGACAAATATTATATAATCATAGATTTAAGCAAATGAACTCTCCTGTCATGCTGTAAATAACAATTTAACAAAAACAATAACTTAATTTTTTAATTTCAGTCGCAACACTCTGTCAACATGAACAGCCATTTTCTTTCTTAGCTTGTTTATTCATGTCCTCCCTTTTGAGAGTAAAAATATTTTCACCCCTTGTAGTGGACTCTTTGTTGGCAAGCAACAACTTTGCAATATCATCAAACATTTCCCTCACTCCTTTGCCAGTCTTTGCAGACACTTTATACAGTTTTTTTATTCCATTGTTCTCACAAAATCTGCGAGCCAACTGTTCATCGACTTGAGAACCTTCTTCTGCCAGGTCAATTTTGTTTCCAACAAGAAATTTTAAAGCCTTCCCTGCATCCTTGTTAACATCTAAGATCCAATTTCGCAGCAGTGTAAGAGAGTACATGTCATCAATGGCGTAGACCAGAATAACAGCTTCAGAATTGTGGTAGTAGTTTGAAGTGAGTGATCTTGTTCTCTCCATTCCAGCAGTGTCCCACACAATGATCTGGCAAATGAAAGAAAATGATGGATCAGTTAACTGCTTAACTCCTAGAGGTGATCAACATGTAACTTCTCTCCATAATTTCTATTTATTAACCAACAAACAGGTGATGAGAATACTCAAACTCATCAGGTGGAAGTTGTTGTCTTGATCTAATGCCAAATTCTTGTAAGTACAAGGAAATGTCTTACAATAAGACCATAGAATTAACAATCAGATCTTGAGAGTTAAAGGATTATGACATTATAATTCAAATTTTACATATAACTTTTTTGTTTTTGTTTTCCAGTATGAGTAAAATTATCATAGAGATTCTCATCCCCTACTTGATCAAGGGATCTTGAATAATATGGTCATCTTCCACTGTAGTCATTGTGCTTAGGAGATAGTAACAGAAGGACTTGACTTTAAATGCTGCTAACTAAGAATATTTGCTCATTAGAAACAGCTCCCTTGATAATTGATATATTTTTTAATATCAATCACATCCTAGAAGGTGTGGTGGCTTAAAAGTTGGTGTGCAGAGCTTCAGGTCAAGCACTCCTGTTCAACAAGTATAAAAGGGTCCTAGCAACCTGTTGGTCAAATCTGACAAAATACTAGGGGTGAAGAGAGGGTAACCTACCAATGGACTGACATCCCTTTCAGGGAGAATAGTAATACCCCTAGTCATTTCCTGCCAAGGAAACTGGGATAGGCTTCCAGTGGATGGGCCACTTGGCTTGCACACAGACTTTACCATTTTGATATTATTCACAACCAGCACAAATGACTTCCTCTCAACCAGATATGATGGGAAAAGGGCGTAGGAGAGGGGGTCCATAGAATTTTTCCATATTATTGAATGGCTCATAGTTGTTCTTACAAATAAAGCAATTACTGATGGGTTTAGTATGCTACCCAACTTTTCCAATGGGAAACTTTCCGATTATTTAGTGGACACCAATATGAAATCATTTATCTATTTCTTTCGTCATTTCTAAAATCGCTTATAATTATATAAATCGATCATACATAAAATAATGTTATCCGAGTTACAGATCTGGATCCTAAACCCAAGTTAGGAAAAACGTTTGAGCACATGTAAATAATTTGAGATTAGCACCAAAAGGAACGAAGATCTTTGCTTGTTTGCGTTTATCAGAGAGAAGCACATACACAAAAAAAGAAGTGAACGAAAAGAAGAGGATCTAGAATATGCCAGGAAAATGAAAGCTTGTACACTAACCTTCAATCGTTTTCCATCGACTTCAATGTTCTTGCTCAATTTGTCCAGTCCAAATGTTGGCTCCCTGTAATCTGAGAACTTGTCGATATCATATCTGCGAAATATAGAGGTTTTTCCCACACCAAGATCGCCAGCCAACACGATTTTATACAACGGAACACTTTCTTCGTCACTCATCTTGCTTAGTAATGGCGATACAAGATTTAAAGATGGAAACACGATCTTTCAAAGAATCTCGGGCTCACACACGTCCTACACGTCCTCTATGGAGGGGTGAGGTAGAGTTTGATGGCTAATGAAAATATTTTTCCCATCAAGTAGAACTTTGAGTTTAAGACTCTGATTTTACTCAAAAGCTTTTTTTAAATTCAAAATTCAGACCCTTTTTTTATTTTAGACAAATCAATCGAAAATGACGGGTGCTTCACACGAATTTTTTTTCATACCTATGTCACGCAGTACTCCCCTGCATTGCGTGACATATGGAAAAGACTATGCCCACCACCCCTACTGATAAGTGAGTCTTGTCAGGGCAATACGGAGATAAACTGTCATGGCGGCATTGTCTGCAGACAGAGGTCCGCTTTTTAAAGTAATCTTGTTGGGCGAAGCTGGGGTAGGAAAAACAGCGATTTTTCACCGTTCCAAGGATAATATATTTGACGAGCGAAGGAAAACTACAGTGGGGATCGACAGTTTTTCTCTCTACGTGAAGGTTGGCGATCAACAAGTTACGGTATGTATTTAAAACAATAGATCAACAAGATCGATAGTGGTGCATGATGTAATCATACTGAGAAGGGAAATAATGGTCCACTTGCACTGTAGTTTTGCAGTTTTGAAAAATGTCGCGTTAGTAGATAATATTAAGTGCGAGAATCCTATAGTTAGTTTGTAAGATTTACCGACACCTTAGCCTATGACCATCAGCTGATTAGTAATAAAAACAAATGTGTCGGTTAATTAATTCTTTCTTAATTCTAATGTTTACAGGGATAATCTGACGTATGGGTAATTTATTAGAAAGATTATAACGGTACCTAACTGGCTGTAAATGACTATGGTATATTTACAATGAAGTCATTCGATTTCGTTTATCACTGCTTTGATTACAGACCGAATTGGACTCCACTTAGTCCTATTATCGTTATGTATAACTATCATTATTGGTCAACTGAGCTTGCCAAAATCTAAAACTGTTCCATGTTGTAAAAAATTTGTGTTAATTGTGGCTGATTACTATTATTTTCATGAGCAAATGAAAGTTGAAACCTTTAATTTTCTTTGAGCTTGTGTTAAATAGTCTTAAAACAGGAAGAGGAACATATATGTATGTCAGTCATGCTAAGATATTCTGCAGAAATATAAAGTGTTTTCCAAACCCATCTGACTCACTGTATGGATTCATAAATATTGTTCTCACTTTGTATTTCAAACTTCACTGCGTACCATAAGCACACAGTAATGTGACTGTCAGTTTTAATTATGCCATGGCAATGAAAACAACTGCAACTTGGAGTGCTGATATGTACAAAGAACCTTGAGAATAATCCTTCTAATCTGTCATTCTTATTTCTTTGTTCACAGCTTGGCGTCTGGGACACAGCTGGAGTGGAAAGATTTCGGACGATAACCAATAACTATTACCGTGGGTCTCATGCAGCAATTTTTGTGTACAGTGTGGACGAACCTTCATCATTACACTATTTAGGCCACTGGATACGGGATCTGGAAGAATATTCTCCCAATGCTATTAAGATACTTGTTGGCAATAAAAAAGACCTTAACAGTCAGATATCTAATGAAACAATTGAGATGTTTAACAATGCAAATGATTGCAAACTTAACATGCTCATGTCAGCAAAGACAGGGGAAGGTATTCAAGATGCTTTTAATGCCATTGCCAAGCTGTTAGTACAAAAAGGAATTGACAGAGACTCATCAAACAAAGGTTTGGAGTTAGAGGCCCCTCAACCCATGGTACGGCAGTGGAAAAATGGTTGCTGTTCATGATATTAGAGTCCTAGGCCTCGTTCACATGTATCAGTTTTCATTTGAAAACACAACTTTTTCTTTACGAATATGTCTTTTATCCACATGTATTTGATGAAAATGGAACTTTTGAAAAGTGCTTTCCAGAGTGGAACTTTTTGAAAATGCTGCTTAATTGCTTGTATGTGTGGAAGGAAGAAAATGGAACTTTTCGAAAATGCTGACATCACACTATCAGTTCCAATACACTCTGCACAATATTATAAACTTATTCAAGATGGACGACAGGTGTTTCACTCTCTTGTCTCATTACTTGGGCTTATTTCTCACCAAATTGCCTGTCTTCAAGCAAAGTTATCTGAGATGGCACCAATTTTTTATTTCACAGGCTCATAACAGCAAATTATTATGCCTGAGGGTTATCATTTAAAAGGTATTATTTTCAAGTTAGTTCATCTTATACATGTGTATGATGCCATGTGTGGGCACAAATTGTTTTGAAAATGAGAAAAACGTTGCATTTCAAACAATTACAGATTAGTGTGGATGGGGTTCTCCTAATTAGAGACTAATTAACTTTTTCTTCCTTTAACAAGAAGGCGCATTACAATGCATGAAGCATTCTCTGCAGTTGACAAATTTTCTTCAACTGTAAGGAAACCATAGAGTATTTCTATATAGTATAAAATAGTAAAGAATAGAATGGATATAAGCCAAAAGGAGCACAGATGATTAAGGATCCCCCAACATTGCAAAGTTTATTCTGAAACTGTAAACATTTAAAATATTCAACTTAGAGATGAGTTTTCTGAAGAGACTTTTGTCTCAACTTTTTCATAAATTGGTTTGTAACAGCCATGACCAGCCTACTAGCCTTATGCAACCTACTTTTGAAATTTGTGTTAGATTTAAAGCACACTCTTCCTGGTTTAGACAGTGTGCATACAAGTCAAAGAAATTACAGTAAAAGTTTGTCAGCAAGTTCTGTTCAGCACCAATGTTTTTTTTTTTTTTGTGATTTCTTTGGACTTGCATAATGGGTTTGCCTGGTACTGGGTCACCCTAAAAGGGATTTCCCATGGACTCAAATTTTGTTGTTAAATAAAAAGATTTAAACTTAAAATAGGCTGGTTCTGAAGCATTTAATATGTATTATGCTTTAGCACAGCTCATTCCTCTTTAGTACAACCAAAATTTATGTAATTGCAACCATGGATGTCAATGTTTGATTGACTGGCCTAATTTTTTTTCTTCTCTCACTAAAAAGCTCATGTTGCTGACAAGATTATTTGTTATTGTAGAGCTTTAATTATAGCATAGGGTAACTGAACTACAACTCTTATAGAGAAGAGTTTTGTTTCCTTTTATTGCAAATATTACCCAAATTTGAAATTATACCTTTCAAGCTATGTGTATTGATAGCAATAAAACAATAAATCTTATTAAGTGGGACTGAAATGTGAATTTTTGGTTGATGAACCAGCATCTTTTCAAGGTGATAGAAACACTCTTATTTTAACAAAACCAGCCTTACTAATATTTCTTCCAATTAATACAAATGTCATGTTGTTTACTAATGTGAAAATTTTGGAATTCAAAATATTTGTGAATTAAATTTGGGATTCTGTAAGAATATTTTAAAATAAAAGCAATTTTTAAATTGTCATATTAGTGAAATGTTTTAATATTAGATTTGGATTATTTTATTTTAAAGAGCTAGACTTTATAATTGTTGGCTTTGCTACCGTGGAAAGTGAGTTATACCGTAAATCCTAATTGTACATCATCAATGATTGTCATATGAAATAAAGTTAGCAATATTTAATGATGTTTTGAGGTCATTTTTAGTGAAACAATCATTACTGTATTAAATCTGCCTGGTAGTCTTCAGTGTCCACCATCAAAATATATATTTTTTTTCCATAAATTAAGGTATGTATATGTATGAAAAAAAAGGTACAAGTGATAACTAAAGAACTTTTAGATTCTTCCTGTCTTCCTGTTTGAAAACAGAAAAGAAATTTAATATTTACTGGATTGAGTAATTTTTTGGCACCAATATGATTAAAGAGAGGTATAGTAAATCATTTGTTAATACAAAGAGTGTTGTTTGAAAGCACACCCTTGCCTCTTCAGTAACCTAGCAACCAGTCAGATGGAAAACTGAAACCAGTTGTGACTTGGCTGCTCATGACCTGCCTCCTTGTGACATTTCCTTGTTCTGATGGGTATTTGTGATGACCGGTACTTTGGTTTTGTGACAATCGATTGAAAAGAGCCCAATGTCTGATTTTTTTTTGCATTCAGTAGAACCAGGATAAAGTCTTATTCACATCTCAGTCAAGTATGCTGAGTAGTTAAATTAACCCTTCAACCCCCAGAAGTGACCAAGACAGAACTTCTCCTTACAACATCAATACAATATCAACCAGATATGTGATGAGAATAAAGAAAAATACAAATTTTGGGATAATTAGTTGATACAATACTCAATTCTCTGAACTAACATCATGAGAATCGTAGGGTTGACAGAAAGGAGAATTACAAATTTAGTCCGGTAGTTGAAGGGTTAAACTTGACTGCATTGAGAAATAGTGACAGGGAAGTTTTTTCACATAAGTTTTGAAAGTTGTCAAGCATTTCAAAGATTTGTTTTTATTACTTTACTCTGACATTATTTAGGATACTTCTGCTACCTTCTCAACCAAAAAGGTGCAGAATGTACACAAATTGCCACTTCTTCACTAACCTCATTTTCTCCTTCCCACGGTTTGCTGCCATTTACTTTCAATTCTCACTGGCTTATTTTGAAATTTTCCTTTCCCTCTAACAGTCAGGTTTGACATTGTGAATTAGTTGTTTTAAATGTGCCCTACTAAGTATTGTTGTCAAGTAATAAGCACCAGACAGGAGTGATGGGTGGTACAGGGTTTGTACCTTTTTTCAGGAACAAATTTCAAGGACTATTCCAGTCCTCTGAGTGATTTTTTAGGGTCCCAAATTTCACCTTTGACCCTTTCATTCCCAAGACTTCAACATAAATTCTCCTTATGGTCTACGTACATTTCATATTATGTATATTCTGAAAACTTTATTGCTCAGCTAAGCAGATTTCCTGGACTTTCCAAGACCCGTAGTCTTTTTCCAGGACTTTCCAGTCTTGGAAAATGTCAAAATAAAATTCCACAGCTTTCCAGGTTTTCCAAGACCCATACAAACCCTATAATGGTCAACCATAAGATCAACAACATAAAAGACAACAACAACATTGTTTTCTCTTTCCAGTGTTTATCAAGGTATTATGTATACAAAATAAAAGATGAAAGATACAAGATGAAAATGATTTCTGTTCTATAAATTGTTTCTTTTTATAGTAAAGTTTCACATAAACAGACAACAATGAAAGTAAATACTGGCATGACTTGTAGTGAATTACAATAAAAACAATTTTAAAGGTTGACAATGCATGTCCTGCAAACAAATATTCATAAAACTGAATATTTCTTTTGTTTTTGCTTTTGAATTTTTATGTTTTTTGCACTGTTTATTTCTTTAATACACCTTCACCACCAGTTATATGTACAAAACCCTCTAGTGAAAATACTTATAGATTCTAATCTCTGATATGATGCTCAAGGCTTTTTTTCTATTCAACAACATGAATCCCAGGTTGAGTACCAAATTAAGCCTCAAATCCCTTAGAGTGACCAGCATCCAATTTCTCCTCACTGTATCACCACTGAATCATATAGCAATGCCATAATTGTCCTACTCAGTACTACTACTAGGAAATGTATAGAGAACAGTATATGGAGAAATTGTATACTGATGTTAAGGCAAACTAATGTTAAGGCAAAAAGGGTTTTACATCTGAGAACTGACAAAATCTGCCAGAAAAATCCAATTGCTTTCTTGCACTACATGGACAATTGTTCATTCATGACTGTAAATATATGAAAACCATGCATGAATTGCAGTTGGAGAAACGAGTAAGGTAGCCATCTTAGAGTGCTGCACTGGTATCATGGAGGTAATGAGTTCAAATCCTCTATAGTCCTCAATTTTTTTCAGGCCTTATTTTCACTACTTCTTAAGTAGTGTTCATAACTACAAGGATCACTTCCGTATTCATTTGTTCATCCATATTGTAGGAGACATACTTGGATTTTTAATTAAAAAATGTACAGTCATGTAATTGTACAAGAGTAGTGTAAAGTAACAAGAAATAATTTTCTCTCTTTCTAAAGAAATAGCTCAGACCATTGAGATTTAGCTGAGAGATCTGTGTTGAGCAACCACAGAATTCTTCAATGCACAACATTTTCACCAATAATTTTGTCTACAAAGTTTGCTATTGTTTTAATGATGGCAGCATTTCTTTTTCCTACGAGGTACCTGTTTCTCTTCTATATTCAACTGTATAACTTCCAATGACCCATTATTGCAATGAGTGCTGGATTTGTTAAAGCTTGCACCTCCACCATGAAGAGTATGGCGACCTATTGATTTCATGGGTGTGGCTTTCCGGAACAAATGCCGAGCCACTGATTGTACCATTTCCTGGATACCATCACCAGTTAAAGCAGAAGTTCTTAATGTAAGTGTGAAAGGATTGTTTGGAAAACACTCACTGATGTCATCTGCACTGACAGTTTCTGTCAAGTCAATTTTGTTTGTTATCAAAATAAAGCAAGCTCCCTGTGCATTAATTTTGGCCAATTGTAGCAGCTCAGCTACTTGGCTGAGAGAATCCCTATCATCTGCACTGTACACAAACAGAACAGCTTGGCTCAACAAGAACTGAGACCTTGTTAACTGGGCATATTCTTCGAGTCCAACAGTGTCCCATAGATTAAACTGGAAATTGAAAAAAAAAAAACACATATTTTGACATGTTGTACAAGTTTATCATTGCTTGGGGTGCTGGTGTAGGCTATTTGAATCAACAACCTATGCAAGCAGAAAGAATTGAGGTTAATTGTATTTGTTGGTAATATAACCAAGAGGGAATGTGGATAGTTGTGTCTACTGGTGTAAATGCTGATACTGTACAGTGTGCCTGATGCCAATGCTCCAAATGAAAGCCATGGTCCCATACATCCCTCCTCTAAAAGAATTCAATAGAGGTGTTTCCTTCATAGTACTCAAAGAGATTGGCAAAGGGTTGATGTGTCATGCATAATTAAGACCAAAATTAATTAATATGATGCATTAATTTTACAGAAAGATGAGGAAAGGTGAGATATAAAGTTTTCCCGTAATATACAACCAAGATGGGTGAAATACTGTTTGTATATGTGACATGTGAATTTTTCTTAGATTCATCATGATACCCCTTTGCTCCCCTCTCCAAATATCAAATTGTTTTGTTGACTTTGATTTGGCACTCATTCATGCCAATCTTTTTCTTTAAATTTGTTATTTTTGAGTTGATTGTGACAAGGAATTGTCAGCCAATCATGACAAGGCATCTTCCTTTAAAATAGTAGCAGACTACTATACAATATTTAAAACAATGAATTAAAGTGATGAATGAAGGGGTGACACTAACCCATTTTTGTGTACACCCCTTGCCAATTTAATTTCCCCTTTTCCCTTCATGCTTTCACTCCTAAGATCTCAAAAGTAATTTTCCTTACTGTGTGCCATCCAATCTTAGGATGATAGCTCAGAGAATTTGGGATTGGATCAACTATTAATTGCCTAATTGATATTTTTCTTTATTCTCATCACTTTTCTACTTGATATCGTATTGACATTGTAAGGAGAAACTATGTCTTGGTCACTTATGGGAGTTACAGGTTAAAACAACTGAAATTTTGTTTTCCCCCCTGAACTTAATGCTTTGTTCCTAATGTAGGCAAGATCAGAAATGGCAATGGGGGCAAGGTATGAGGAGAGGGTGGAACATTTTACTATGGATTTAGAGAAACAAATATATGTTTTTGTAATGAAAGTTTTTTCAGCCAAGTGTGTCAACTTCTTTTATTACAAATGTACTTGGGGTATGGTCATTCATTATTGGGGGGGTGGGTGAACCAGAGCAACTGGAAAGGAATCATGTTTTTTTGGTGTGCCTGAAAATGAGGGGCTACATAAAATTCTGAAACCATTTCTGAACAGTCATGTTTTCTGTGTGTTCTATTTTCCTTTCTACAAAAGCAGAAAACACTGGAGGGACCAACAAAACCCCACTCTAAGAGGGGGGAGCAGGCATTATGAAACTGCACCAGCCAATCCACCTTTTCCTTCCCATAACAAATGACCCATCCATTATTTTTAGTTCAAAGGCAAATGAAAAATTAAAGAACTTTTCAAAACCAATTTTAGCTAGAACATACAAGATAATGACTAATTTTCCTTGGTAGAGCCATACCTGAACTGTGTCATCACTGTCATCTATTTTAACTATCACTTGACGCTCGTGATTCATCATTGTCTTTTGAACAGCTTTTCCACTTTCCAGTGTGCCTTTTGATCCACACATTCGCTGAAAAATGGAAGTCTTTCCTACTCCGGTCTTGCCACATAGCACTACTTTGTAAATGTTGACCATAGCAGACTCTACACTCCAACATAAAATTTTCTCACCAATAGGACTGAGATGAACTGATCAAGTAGCCTGACTGCAAAACAAATCTCCTTGGAAGTGCATGTACCACCTAAGTTAAGGTCATCTTTGCTACAAAAAGAAATTCAATCAATCTGTCACTAATGAAACCTTCAGAACTTTTTCATAAATTATAACAACACTATGGGGTTTTCCCTGATTCCAAGTTCACCCCTTAATTTAAACAAGTTTGTCCCAACCTTTATCAGTCTGTCCCTGAATCTTTCAACTTGTTTCCTTGTATGTTTAGTGAAACTTAATATGATTTCAATAGAAAAACAATATCTTCTGCTGTAAGGAGAAAACAAGCAAAGGTAGGAGTAATTTGTCTTACTATCAAGGACACAACATGCAAAGATGGTAAGGGATGACATTGTAATTGGGCAAAACCTCCATAAATCCATTAATAAAGGAAAAATAAAGCAGAGTAAGTAAAAATGAAATATTCCCAGCATAAGTATACTAAGAATCTTTTTAAATAAACACAATGACAAAAACATAACATGTTGCATTGTTGTCAAACATAGCAATCAAGGGAGATTGTTTATTAAGTTTTCATTTTTTAAACCCCCTCAAGCTACTAATCTCTTCTATTCAAATTAATTAAGAGAATTTGGTATTTCATCAGTTTAATATTGTCTAGCTGTGAACATATTTTCCAGTGGCTGATAACAAATTAATAAAGCCTGGAGAAATGAAATGCCAATCATGCATTTAATGGAGGTGATCTGATAGTTTATTCTCCCCTCTAGCTGTTAAACATTTCCTTGCAAATCAGTTACAAGAGTTTTGTGTTAGACCAAGATAACAACTTCTACCTGATAAGTTTGAATATTCTCATTACCTGTTTGCTGGATAAAGCATGAATATTATAGCTAGAATTCTAAAATTTTTTTTTTAAAAGATTCAAATAATTATCTTCCTCTGAAGGAGTTAAGAATCGGTTTCAAATCTCTGTCTTTAAGGAGAGAGGGTGATGATAGTGTGTCCATGCTGAGACACGTTGGGTATGTATAAAAAATTTATTCAGTTCAGAAATGACCGAAGAGTACCCTGTCATTCCTCCCACATACTGATTACTTTAAACATCTTCTCTATGCTCTTCCTAATTAATCTTCTGCCAGAGGTTGCCTTGGCCAAATTGCACAATGAAAATACTCAGAAGCATAATGCTTATATTACATTTAATTTATTTAATAAATAAAGTTTCATTCCAATTAATGATCAGACCACGATTCGTCTGTCACAAGACTAGCGTGGCTACAAGAGTATGTCAAACCTCTATGAGCTCGAACCATTAGTTGGACATAAAAATGCGGCTAGCATGCACCAAAAGTTCCACAATCGCATGCTCAGTGCCAGAAATTGTAACTTCCCAGCGTTAAATATCAAGTTTTCACGTCACGCGAAGGAAGACATTTTTCACACAACATTACACAAAAGAACGGCAAAATCGCTTGGATTTCACGTGCTCGTCACCCCTTAGTCGAGGAGCTTATTTCTTTTTTGGTATAATAAATAGTAACTCACCGACCTCTCAGTAATTTAATCGTCTGATCTTCCTTCCTAAATGTAAAGGTTAGTACAAGGTCTGATCAAGCTTGGCATCCTTGCCGTTTTCTAAGTCATCAGAGCGGTAGACTGGGAACGAATATTCTTTGTTTTGCAATATGGCAGAAATTACTACACGCTTCGAAGTGAATATCTATCGTTTTCATAATCGAGAGTTACCAAATTCTCACTAGAAAATCTGGATATGGCTGAAGGCGGCAGTGAGGAACTAGATGTATACAAGGTTGCTTTATGTGGAGAGAGTGGAGTTGGTAAAACGTCCATTTTTCATCGAGTTCTTGGAAATGGTTTCAAGAAGAATACCTTGGAATTTAAACACTTGCCAGAAAGCAAGATCGAAGTCCAAGTTAAAGAGAAAACTATCATAGTAAGAAATAAATCAAAGTGTAGGAATAGGAGGCAATCATCGGTTCTAGTGATCGCCATATCGTTTCGCGCAAGGGAAGATGATACTTCATATCTTCTTTGAGTTAAAACATGCATGTCTGTGGTGAAGTGAGAGGGTGGATACGAATACGATTTTTTTGCATGTGGTAATGTCTTTTTAATCACAGAAGGGGTAGAGTTCAGAACACGTGACCAAATTATTTTTAAGGTACATATGTTTAGGTAGCTCTCAAGTTGTCGAAACACTCAATGATAAATCTTACATACAAGTCTCTTGCCTAGCTATTCTGTCATTGAGTAACATAGGTAATTGGAATGCTGAATGTGGAGAAATGACTCTTGTGGGTGAGGTGCAAAGGAAGAAATTGCAGAAAAGAAGTTTGAAAAAAATTCAGGCGTTGATGAAAGTCAAACCCCTGCCTCCCTGATATTAGTTGGGTTTAGTTCTAACAACTGAGCTGTGCAGCCTGATAGCAAGGCACATTTTTTGGGGTTGTTTATTCATGTAAAGGAATCTCATCATGATTAAATTAAATAAATTTGTCGTTAGCCTTTCCCTATCTTACCTCTCTAAAGAAACTTAAGACAACAGAACATTTGTTTTGAATTAATTTCAATTTGTGAAGGGTAATTTTGTTTCTTGTTTAACTGATTTGTTAGATTCACCTGTGGGACACAGCTGGAATGGAGAGACATAAGGCTTTGACTAGACCGCACTACCAGGGAAGTCATGCTGTGCTCTTGGTTTATGACTGTGATGAAACAGAATCCTTAAATCAAATTGAGACCTACTACAAAGATGCTAAAAAGCATACTAATGGTGCTGCCATGGTATTAGTACGGAACAAGATTGATAAAGAGTGTTGTAGTGTAGAAAAAGAAGATGCTGAAAAAATACTTTGTAATCACATAGAGAAAGGCTTTCCTCATTGCAAATTTCAACATAAGGCTGAAACATCTGCAAAGGCAGATACTGGAATTAGAGAGCTTATACAGTCAGTGGCAGAATATTTGGTACAAAATGCAGAACCTAGTAATTTGCAGAACCCTTTGCAGAATGAATTTGAAAAGGTAAAGCTGAGGAACACAAAACAAAATCCTGCACCATCAAGTCGTTGCTGTTAGTTATTACACATGAAATATATATGTGTTGTTAACCAAGTGTAGAGTCAATATGGCTGGATTTTGGCAAATTGTTTTTGCAAAAGGCCAATTCCCTGTCATCTGACTTAAAAAAGCTTTATTGGTGACGGATTTATCTTTCTATTGTTCAAAAGAATTGCAATATAACTTGTAATGAAACTTTTAGTGTTTTTTATCATCCTTAACATGCATTTTAAGATTCCCAAGCAGTAGGACCTACTGGAAAAGATATATCTTGTAAAAATAGGAGTTTTTCAGCTTTTACAGATTATGTAAATAGGCCACCAAATTCTTTTCTTGGTGATCATAGTGGGTAACCTAAGCCCTTTCTGCCTGCTCTGGTAGCCAATTAGGGAACAGAATTCAAAGAGCCAGCCTTTTTATTAATTTATTAAGCAATATGCAAAGCTTTTGACAGTTAAGAAAGGTTAATAATAGTCAGCAATCATTTCAACCAGAAAGATGCCTTCTATTTTGATTGCAGTGGTCACAGGAACACCAAAAATTGAGACAGACTTCCCCTCTGGTTTCCATGTGATTGCTGGGATTGTCTTGCCATTTTCAGTGTTCTCAGTGACTACAAAGATCCTAAAAAAAGAGGCAGAAAGATTTGAAATGCCCCAGTTGCAGACAAATATGCATTTATTAGACAAATGTAATTTTACCAAGATAATGTCCTAACATGAAAATGTGCTACATGCAATGTATGAGATATTGTGATAAACTTCAAATGGGACTGTGTTTTACTCTGTTTAGGAAGAATTTAGGTGAAATAAACTTTACAACAGTGTTTCCCTACTTAAAGAAAAGCCACTTTCTTGTGATACAATATCAGATTACATTTGTTGTTACAACTGGGAATATAAGACAATTTGAAAAAAAAGAATCCACCTTTTTATCAGAAGTCACTTGCCTTTTTCAGGGGTTTCAAAACAAGCTGGCAACTGCTGGAGTTCTGCCAGCTCTTTGATAATATGCCACTGGTTATTCAGGTAAAAATAATTACCTTTTGGCCCTTACTCAACTGTTTACTGTGACCTGCTTTTGCACAGGCTGACGCCTTCTTCAAAACATTTTGAAACCCTTGATTTTCTTCTGTGAATCTCTTTGTATCATCATGGTAACTTTTGATCATGTGCAAAAAGTGGATAAAAAACAAGTTTTGTAAATCAAATTGCACACTCGGGTACATTTGAAATAGCAGCATGCAATGTTTAATTCTGAGGTAACTCCTCAAACCACACAGAGGGAACATTGGAACTTACATTTTTTCACAAGAAATGTCCTGATGTTTAGTCACAAAACAGCCTCTTTCATACACAGAGTGTGCAATAAAAGATCTTCCAGTTCACCCAAAAGCCAACCGACTCAAGCAGAACTATAAAATTTAGTAGTTTCTCAGTCTCTAATCTCTCTCAACTCCTCCATGTAATGCTTCAAAATAACCAAACCAGCTGAGCAAGCTAACCATCACAAACTGAACAGCTGTAAAAAAGTTTATTACAAAATGAAAGTTCATCCAAATTCCAAAGCATTTGCACTCATTAACCTTCAAACCCCTAAGGATGACTACCTTCTAATTTCTCCCTTCAGTATCACCCCTGAATAACACTTTAACCTTTTACACCTAACATCATTATGCATATTCTCCACACTGTTCTCTATACATTTACTAAGTTGCTAATGACGAGAATTTGTTTAACAATCACAAGCTTTTTTAGTTGGTGATCATTTTCTTTATTCTCATTACCTTAATATGTGGTGATACATCCTGGATAAATTAGATGCTTATCAGTCTTAGGGTGTAAAGGGCTAAGGTAATGAGAATAAAGGAAATTATCACCGACTGAAGAACCTCTTGATTGTTATACAAATTCTCCTTGTCAATACCTTGCAAAATGTAAGGTTGACTTTGGAGAATATGCATACTGATGTTAGGGTGTGAAAGGTTAACCTTTAAATTTGCACTGCACTTAGGTTTACACCTGACGACAAAATCAAAACTAAAAGTAATTAAATGCTATTAGTAATGGCCACACACTCATATTTTGGTTCTTGCTGATTTATTTACAATAAATTGTTATCTTGTCTTCTTTTAACCATAACAGACAAAACATACTCAGAGAAACCTCAGTGGGAGGATAACATGTTCACATACAAACCAATTAGAGCAAATTGCACTTTTTTTCAAAGCCTGAAATTACATATCAGTAGTATAGAGACCCTTCATCTTTAACTTCTCTCTGGCTTGTCTCCCTGTGGAAGTTGACTTTGTTGTGCAGCTTCAATCTCTTCCCTGTGTGCAGGAAAATTTTCCCAAGGTGTCTGGAAGTCAAACCTGCGGAATTCTTGAGCCATTTCCACTGGTTCACAAACAACACGCTTAAGTTCATCATCATACCTCACCTGAAATATAAATAGAAAATATATCATGTAAACCCTACTTGGGTGGATAGGTAAAGTCTGTACTGGAGCCTCATGGCTCACCCAGCTAGAGCTTATCCCAGTTTCCTTAGCATGAAGTGACTAGCAGTACCTCTTCTTCCCCTGGATGGGATGCTTGTCCATCACAAGGTTACCCCCAGCATTTTATCAGGCTTTTCTGACAGTTAGCCAGTTCCCATTTATACTCCAGGGTGGAGAGAGGCACTGTGAGATAGAGAGAGAGTAGTGTTTTGTCCACAAACACAACACAAGGACTCAGCCAGGTTTTAAACTTGGACCTATTTACCCCCCCCATCCAGCCAATCAATCACATGCTGTATGCTGTATGCTGTGTCTACCCACAACCTCAAGAAGAACTTGATAGCAGTTCTGATATAATAACCTAGAACCTTGTATAAGGCATGTAGGTCACAAATGATATTAATCTTAGCTTTACTGTAGGAGCATCCAGTTTTGTGAACTGGAAAAGTCTGAGGTTTAAATTTCCTTGATTCAACATTTTCACACACTTGTCAAAAATTACTCACTATTATGAACCTATGTGGTACATAAATAAAGCCTATCACTACCTCCACATAGCCAGTTAAGGGAAAGTCCTTTCTAAATGGATGTCCTTCAAATCCATAGTCTGTTAAGATTCTTCGTAAGTCTGGATGATCAGCAAAGAATACACCATACATGTCCCAAATCTGCCATAAAAAAGAGTTTGTAAAAGTCTGAATTTCATGATGAGTCTGTTACCAGTGCTGATACAAATGAACAGATGCCTTACTAGAATAATTTTATCTCAAACATTTGGGATTCACATAAGACAAAAACTACTACCAAACCTGAATTTAAATGTTCATTTGTGATACACATTTAGCCCTAAAGTTTTTCAAAGTCATCAAGAATGTTATGCATAAAGACATAAGGCAATTACAAGTTTGGAACCCTTCTGATAAAGAAAAGTGTTAAATTTTATTCTTAGAAAGAAAAGGAAGACTCTTGAAAAAATCCAATTGTGCTGTGACCAAAACATAACAGATCTACCTGAAACTTTGCTTTTGGTTTCAATTCACAAGATACATCAATACTTTGTACTTAAAATTGTCCTTGTTCATAAAAGAATATCTTTTTGCAGATCCAATGTATTAATGCAGAATGGCTGCTTTTAGCTTTGGTATTAGACCATGTATACCTTATTAAATTATAGGATTAGCTCAATGATCAGCTCAATGATGACGCAGCACTTTCATGTAATTATACTTACCTCTCTTTCATACCAATTTGCCACCTTAAACACAGGGTTAGCAGAGTCAATTGCCGTTAGTTCATCAGTGTAAGTTTTGACACGGATCCTTGAGTTGTATCTCAGGGACAGCAAATTGTACACAATCTGTGCAAGATCAAAAAGGAGATTAAACTTAAAAGATTTCTTATAATGAGAAATCCATCACTACAACTAAGCTTGTTTTTAAGATACACTTTGAAGTCACCAGGGCCCACTTCAATCAATCAATTTCACTACTCTTTAATATGCATGTGAAGAAGAAGTAAATTCCAAATGCTGAGGGAATAAAAAAGACATGGAATACTCCTAGGAAAAAGGTTTACATGAAGGCAAAAAAAAAAAAAGAAACACTGCTAAAAGGGGCATGAAACATGATAGGTAAAGGTTGGGGTAATTTACATTAAGTGCAAAAGTAATGGTGTAAAAATCATGCATGGAAACGCAAAAAAGACCAAGTGCAAATTAATGGGTGTGGAAATATAAGACCTAATTGGAGAAATCAGAAAAATTCCACATTCACCACAACACACTGAAACCTCTAGGAACTTCCTATAGTTTTCACATGTGAAGTTATCATTCACCTTTAAGTTTAAGATGTATGCTGCTTACTTGTTAGACATCTTGATTTACAAAAGATGTGTGAAACTGGACAAGAAAGAAACTAATAGGAACAGTACCTTTGAATTTTTTTTAACTCAGATACAATGAAATTTAAATACACATGTAACTTACTTAAACTTCAGTAAACCTGTGTAAAATGGAAAAAGAAGCTTCTAGCTCATAAAGTCTTAACTCTAAGGTTAACTTTGTATTGTACCTCAAATCTAAAAGGCTTTCCTAATTTATCCACAACTGTTTGGTCGGCAAGAGACTTGTATTGTGCATTGGTGTGGTCTTTGAGGAATGTCAGAACAGGGATGATTCCTTCAGGAGCAATGAGTAATTCTAGTTCTTTGGTTTGTGTCATTTGAACTTGCTGGATGTACTTAGGCAGAATGCTGGCCACATATTGTCCAAACTCTGACAGCTGAGCTACTGTTGCATCTTCTGTTCAGTGAACAAGATGACAGCGATTAAACAACTTAAGTCATCAAAAGCTTTAATTTAATGTGCTGAGGCCTGTTTCTCGAAGTTTCTGGTAAGTTAACGGACCCATAAAGCTGTTCAATTTCCATTGATAATGGGTTTTCAAAAGTTTTGAAAATTGTACAATAAAACTATTAGCTAAAGAAACAAAATGGACTGGTTAGGGTCCCAGACCTGCTTCTCTATACTTAAAATTTTGATTTGAAAATATAGCTTTGGGTCCAGGACTTTCAAGAAACAGGCCCCTGAGCTCCAAATGAAAACATCCAGTGAGTACAACTCCCTTGAAAATTATCCTTTTCTTAGCCAATATACATTACTGAAAGGAACTCTCTCTACATGTGCAACAAAGTGTTGTTTTAACAACACTTTGTTGACAATTTAAAAATTGTCAAAAATTACAGACATATTTGGGAATGAAGTATTTAGTGTAATAAAAAATCTAAACAGATATTGGCAGTCTAAGACTGCAATTTTGTGCTTGCTGCTATGCCAAATTATGCAGCACATTACTGTTAACACTATTATCAGCATAATTCCCTTTGAACTACTAATCTCCTTGTTTTTGTGATCCTTACTTTTTAATGCATTAATAGACACCCTGGATGCAAAGAAGATATTTTATAATCTTCATCAATATATACCACGCAGGTTGATAGTGCTCTTTGCCAGCACTAATTGGCTGGTTTGGAAGTGATTAGCAAGAACTATTCACCTCTGAGCTGCTGAAGAGACGACATCATGAATCAATAATTTAATTTTTCTGACCATTTTTAGGTATATTGACTAAAATGAACAAATTTGTTGGGTTTTTATGAGATATACACCAAAGCAATTATTCATCTCAGTGTCAGAGAAAGTGGTAGATATTGACCTAACTGCTTTGTGCCTCAGTATTGCAGAAGCATGAAGCAGTTAGGTTAATATCTCCCCACTTGCTTAACAATTGTCAATCATTCAACATGTTCTAAATATCAAAAGTTGATCACCAGTAGAGCATGATTTGTACAATTCAGCCAATTAAAAACACTTTTGCTGACAAGAATTATAGAGCAGGGACCAATCTCATTGTAACCAACTACTGCAGCCCTTTTACAAATGCAAAACCCAAACAGTTGTTGTTAATAAGTGAAGCATTTGCACTTACTGTACTTAAATTGGCTACAATTTCATATGCTCAGTTGTGAAACTATACTCCACAGAGGTTGCATCAAACTTACTATGGGGTTAAACTCTTTATTAAAATTGGTGATGAATCAAATCAGCCAGTTTAATTAATTAGGGTTGATAACGTTAGAGTTCATCCAAACCAAGTGAGATATGGCATCTGACCAAGGCCTAAACACAATAAATGTACATTTTCCTACCTTTCAATGCCACTTCACTGGAGAGTTTCCGTGACTGCTGTGTGAAAATAGCAGCAGCGACAGAGGGCTCGCAGCATTTGTATTGATCTAGGAAAATTGCATAATAAGAGACAAATTAAAATTGTGTGAATAAATCTGTATCGAATTCAAACCAATCTGTTTACATTCATAAACGTGTACAATCCCTTTCTAGAATTCATCCACCAAATTAACGGCTTGGAATCACGCATCAATGACAGATGATTATATAAATACTAACACTGTTTAATTCGGGCTTATGTCCCGGGTGACCAAAAACAAGTCAGCGAAATATTTTTGTGACACAAACGAGACGACACGAGAAAAAACACCACTGAGGGCTAAAATAGATCAGAATATCACTATTAAAACAGGTTGACGAGAATACATACTTTTCAGAAGTACCCTTGGACCTGCAATAGCGCCCAACCTCAGCAAGGAGCGAACACTAACAGCCGCCATTTTGAAAGCCAACCTAATACTATTGTAAGCGGCTGCTCAGAGTGTTAAGCCGCTGTTTGTTTCTTTGCTTGCGTGCGGGCGCGAAAGTGCGAGAGATCGCGCGCGGCCTTGCCCTCTGTCAAAATCACAAAGAGCGAATCCTTGTCACGGCTGTCTTTGGACCTTCTCCAGTTGGTAGAGAAAGATCACTCATTTTATTGCCTTAGCTTCCGCATCTGCAGAAATCCGCTGAATTTTCACTCCAATCGCTGTGAAATGTTTACCGAGGAATGGGTCAGGAGACTAGACCTAGGCGGGTAAAGGGGATCGGAATATCGCTCATAACTGGCTCTCAGTCAGAGGAGATGAGCAGAAAAAGCGGGCGAGAGAAAATTGGCGGGAATCTGGAAAGTGACTACAACGGACCATAGGACTGGGGATGGGAAAGTCCTTCCTCTTACCCTCCCCCGCTTCTCTCCCTTTTTCACTTATTTCTATGGACTGATTGCCTTACACAGGTTATTGAAAATATTGTTCTACAATGTGAAAGACAAAGAGAATATAACTCCTGAAGAAAGAAGGGAAGAGGGGTTGGGGGATTACGACCACCTCGGCCTCCCAAGATTGTTTATTTAGCCTCTCAGTCTCTCTGTTAACATTGTTTATTTGGTCATCAACAAACACCTTATTTACTCCAATACTACGTACCTTCGACAAAACTACCACATCAAATCACATCAATTTACATGTTTTACATATGACAATGACTTAGCATCTGAAGCATCAACCATGTCCTCTAAAAATGACTTAAAAGCTTAAACTGTACTTTTCTACTGTATACCAAGCTGTCTCGGCAAAGATAGTAAATGTATACTTATAACTCATTCCTTACTTGCTGAACAAAAATTTTTAGTTTCTAGATTTCTTCTGTCATGGTCGGGGCCGTTTCTGCAAATGATACAATTAGCACATTAACTTTAAGTTACTGAGCTTGTTTACTTCTTTAGTTATTGTTGTTAAATTTTTTTGTACCATGCAGCTATAACCGGCGACGAAAGGCCACCCTATTTGTAAATAACTCAGGGAATTAATCAACATATCAGTATCAGAGGGTTTTGGAGAAAAAAAAAAACAACAAAAAAGACACAGCTTCTAGCAAATACTAACTGGAGTTCAAAACATTTTAGACTGAAACAAGCAAGTATAGAAAAAAAAAATATTAAAACCTTTAACTCTCAAGATTGATTCATTTTTTTCTCCAGTCTGGTTGCTACACTTTTACTTGTAAATTAGTAATGAGAATTTGCTGTTAAAATCAAGATTCTAACTGCTACCTGACAAGTCTGAGTATTCCCATTACCTGTTTGCTGGATATTGTATCGACATTGTAGGGGGAAGTTACTTGTGAATCACTTCTGAGAGTTGTAGGGTTACTTCTTTAAAAAAAACTTGTCTTTTTTTTTTTTTTAACAGAGTTTAAACTTAATGAAGCGATTTTCAATTTTCATGTTTACAGTAGTCTAAAGTTGCTGTATTTTGATTCATAATCATCTCCTGTATGGAGCAATTTGCAATTGAGAGCTAAAAGTAATTCGGGATTACATTGGCGTTGTTCATCCTCGCTCTTTGATTGGTTTAAAAATCTCGCGCTAACCTCGCAACGACAAATCAGAAGCGAAATGAAAGCCATCTGCGGCTATGCCACATTTTTACAGGTCGTTTTCCACCCTTATTTTTCATTGCTTACAGATGGCTTATTTTTCTCGACATTTGCATATGCGATTGCTTCGGCGTTTGTCCTATAGTATTCAACTGAAAATCTCTCATTAGCTAACGATAACACAGGTGCCGAGTCCTCGAATCATGATGCTACTAACCGCGGCAAGTCAGTCGCTTGAACAAGTCGCGCATCCTGGTCTTATAATATGGATTCATGACAGCATACAGCAATGGATTCACCGCTGACCCAATGACCCCAATAGCAGATGAACAGCCGTGAAGGTTGAAATAAAGCTCTGTGTAGGTACCAAAGATTCCGGCAAGTTGAACGAGGAGGAACGGAGTCCAGAAAGCAGTGTACACGATTGCTATCCAGAAGCACAACTTGGTTGTATGTCGCTCGTCCGCCGATCCATTCACTCCTTCAAGATGGGTTCGCAGGGTAAAAAATATCTGCAGGTAGATCATGGCTGTAAAGGCAATAGACAGGCCGTACAGGGTCGCCGAGTACCCGAGGAACACCTGCGCATATGTATCCAGACGCTGGTTAATCAGCAAGCAGCGGTAAAGCTTTGGTGTCGGGTCGCCATTCGTGAACTCATTTCGGGCCATGAGGACCATAAAAACAGCGGACGAGATGCACAGGATCCAGAATATGGACACCATCAGGTGTGCTTGCACCAGAGAGAGCCTGGGATTTTGTGGTCGCAACATGACATCTTTTCGATGGTAAGCCAACAATGGGAAAACAAAATACATCAAGGAAATGCTGAACATGGAGAGAAACAGGCTGATTTCGCAAACCGGTGTGTATGCTATAAGCTCAGCCTTGGCGTACACCCGATAGATGAACAACATTGGGGTAAAAAGGAGGGAAATCAACAGATCGGCGATCGCCAAGTTGGTGATGAGGAAGTAAAACGTTTTTCGAATGGAGTTGTCGGTCACATAAGAATAGATTATCAAGCCATTGCCGAGGGATCCCGCAATCATGGTGAGGATATACAAAGGGCTAACGAATGCTGTGGTAACACCATATTGTTGATAGTGATCCATCATTGACATCTGGTGTCTTGTGGTTTTAAACAGAGCTGTAAAAATCGTCGCGACCTTCGCGAACCTGAAGAACTCTCTGAGGTGATTTCAACAACTGGTGGTTCTGAAAACAGAAGACAAAATGAGACATTGTGATTTATAGTGCACTTAAGCTGCCAGAGGAAACACTGAAAGGTGGAATCAAAATATACTTTCTAAATTTCTTCTTTGTGATGCTTTGTGTGTATTGTCGTCGGTGGATATCAAAAAGCAGGTGAAAAGCTGTTCGCTAATCTGTATGTAAATTCGTAGTTTACAGATCCTGAGTTATCGCTCCACCCTGATATATGATGTGACCTGGTTTGTTATGTGTCCGGCATGTGTTTACAACTACACCTTCAAGCAAAAACATTTGAAAAATTTCAGAAAAGGCTTTCTCCACTGAGGAGTCAAACTATGAAAATTACAAACAGGTACAACCTTCTCCTTGAGCCGGAAAGACATTTCAATGATTTTTCACGTCGCTGTAGTGTAGAGATCGTTTCCTCAGATACAGCCAATAGCAAGAAACCTTATGTTCAGTTAAGTGCTCTTTATTCCATCGAAAAGAAGAGGATGGATGCAAATGAATCCCTACGATTCTTTTGATGATAAATTATACCAAATTTTATCAAAGACATCCGACAAGCTGTAAATTAAATTTCTAAATCAAGCTAGAGGAATATCATATAAATCAAGTTTTCAGGAAAAACTCTGAGATATCGCCGATCGTTTGTGATATACCAGCAATTTTAATCGGCGATGCAGCGAAGGTTTCATTAACAAAATCAGAGAAAGATTTTGACCTTTCACTGTCTGTACTTTCGACCGTTTTGTTCGGATAAGAAAATATCCTTTTAAGATACGAGATAACTGTAAACAAACCTGTTAAATGTATGTAAAAATCAAACCGTATCAAATTGAATAACAAAAATATCTCTCCTTTAAAAATAAAGATACCTAAGGCAAATATATTTCATTCAAATTCTATTCGAAATGTCATATTTTACTTGTGTGGCGGTATAGTCAGGCTCATATAGGGAGATTACTGCAAGTAATTCAAGTCTTTCCATCAACGTAATTTGCCCCTTTGCGCTCCTCATCGATTAAAATTTTGAGTTCCTTAATTGAAGCTAAATTTTGTTTATATTGAAAAAAATTGCCCACGCACTTAAACGTTTACAAACCTGGAATTTTCGGTTGTGGGCGATTTTACAACAGTTGTGAAATATTGAGTAACTTGAGAGGCTAAAACGCCAAGAGCTGGCCAGTTTGGTATCAGTTTTCTTACTCTTTCTTAACGATTGATTTAAATCGTTGCCCGATGGCCAACGTCTCTTTTTATATTATTACACGTACGTTATTTATGTTTTCATTGTCACCAGAGTGCACCTTTAACATCTGTCAAACCTTCTTCAAGTATTACTTCCGAAAACCGTCATGGTAACGACAGTGTTGTGTTCTTGGGCAAGACACATCGTCCTTTTCTACTAAGAAGAATCGGTGGGTATCAGAAAAATATCAAGGAAACACTTGACAAAATGTCGAGGGTAACCTTTGAACGCCTGGTATCCCGGCGGCAGGAGCAGCCGTACAACAACAGTTCTCGTCCCTCAAGCCATCCGACAAAACAGGGATCGCCTTCATTGATCGTCTCATCCTTTTGTCTCGTATGCAGATTTCGCCCATTTACTCTAAAGGATTAGAAACTTGAAACAGTGGGGGAAACAACGTTCAATTTAAATCGTGTTTCAAGCGATTTCGAGACGGAAAACTGTTAGAGTAAAAAACAAATATTAACTCTGTTTTGCGCTTTTGGCATGAGCAATTATTCTGCGACTTGCTTAGTCAAAGTAGCCTGCGTTTTTTACCGCCTTTCAATATGTAACACTTGAAACCTTTGCATCATAGACCTAATTGTGTGCTTAAAGCTTCTCTGCACCCTTTTTAACAAATATTGTGATTAAGCATTCGAGGAAACTCATGATGCTTTTGTACATACTTTACGATCGTTCAAAATGATGGTGTTAGGATGTTATAAAAGGCAGAATCTTGCGTGATAGCAGGTGCGAAAAAAATTAATGCAAAATCTTAAAAAAAGCCAAATTCAAATGCAGCTGAATAGAAATGTTTTTTTTTTCGAAAACAGATTCATTTAACAGAGTGAGAATCATTGGCACAAGAAAAACATCATGAAGTTGATTCCATTAAACAAACAAGAAATTTCAAAGAAATAATTACTTGAAAGAGTACTTGTCTAAATAACAAAAACTTTTCACTCTTCAATCCTTGGCCATTCTCCGATTCGTATCATTTCTTTTTATGCAATTCCTTTCGAGATACGTTTTCCTTTTAGGATGAAAAATCTTTTAGCAACTTTTGATTGACGGGTCGATTCCTAGGGTATCGAACCCGCTAAAGATGAATCGCCGTTCGAAGCTGCCTACTGACAAACAATGCCCTATCGACCTGCTGGTTTTTCTCGCAGGCTCGTCTCTCACTACACTTCTCTGGTCGTTCTGAAGCACTAGCAAAAGCGTACTTACATGATAGACGATTACAGAAAAACTGATCCCGTCGGTTTTCTCTGCTCCACTGCATTCAAACCTGAGCAGCAGCTCAAACGAATCGCTTTAACTGCTGTGACGTCTCTTTAAGTTAATAAACAAATACTGGCCGGAACTTCTGTGTCAAAAAGAGACAATTTACGCAGAATTTTATTAAAATATTCTGCGCTGTCTGCTGCAGCACAATGAAAGTCTTGATTTTATATTACTGTTACTTTTACTTACTGACAGCTGGTGTCGGTTTGGGAATTTTTCTGTTTCTGTGAGCTTTCCTTTCATATCCGGTCAATTTTCGCCGCAATTTCAAATGGCCTCCTGGTGAAAGCGAGGCCTACCTTTAAAGTTGAACATTGGCTAAATTTGAGCACCGTTCGATTTTAAGCGTCGACCCACTTTACTCAGTTCCAAATTTCCGTTATTATCCAAAGCAAAAATAGAAGGAAACACGAACAACATACATAATTCTACTGAGTATCATCTCTTAAGTAAATCTTTTGACCCATGACATCTCATTTACTAAGACATCATTTAAAATTTCGCCAATTTAAACAAAATTTCCAATTTCTGAACCTTTGAACGCTCTGGTTTACAATTGCCTGAAAACGCCGTAGCGCGCAGTTAACTCTTTTTAAATCACTTTCCTTGCCTTGGAGTGGTTAAAACTTGGAATAGCATCTGGCTTCGCCTTTGGCGAGAATATGTCAGATACATGTTTATTTAGCAGCTACATACCTCTCACAAAGGTCGGTTCTGTCTGTAAGTTAGGAGCCAAGTTTGATGGATGAAAAACCCGGAAGGATCTGTAACCACTTGTACGAACACAAAACACGAGGTTTAGGAAACACTTCCTTGTCAAGCTGACTCGCATCGTACTCATCGTATGCAAATCTTTCGCAAGTTTTAACACGCAAGAAGTAAAGAGAGTTTAATTTTCATTTCGCAAGAACGTTAAGAACATTTGGCGAGAAACAATGAAAGATTCTGGAAACAATAAAAGGATTAAATCTTAACTGATATTACGAGTAAGCAAGACCGTGCCTACCATTAAGCTGAGAGATTTAACCGAATGAAATGTAGAATAACAGGTTTGTAGCCTAAAAATTAATTCTGAGTTAGCCACCGCACTCTTTTTCTTTCCTTTCAGTAGATAATCGATCGCTGTCTAGATAATCTGTCACCAAAACTCACAAAGAACTTTGACCTTTCACTTATATGCAGATTAAATGGAAACTACATGAAATTTTAATATCACCCCAAAATATTCATTTAAATAGTTTTACCATACATTGGCCTCACACTGTTGTTTTAAATAAAATGCTACGATATCATCCAACGAAAACACCTTTTCATGTTCGCATTACGTGTGATAAAAGTCTATGGTCTATGGACTTAATTTCCCGAACTATATCTCGCACGAGTTGGCAGCTGCTACGCATAAATAAGTTATCTATTTGCAAATTTGTTCGCGCGTGAAACAATAGCTTCATTCCTCTAAGTTGAATTTTTTCTGTGCAGGTTTTGCTGCAATAGATAATGAAGCATGTAAGATTTATTTACCATTATTTGTATACATTTAACAGAACTACTTTCGTGAGAAGACATGCTAACCTTCTTTCGAGTGATTCCGTGGATTGCGTGACTTTGGGGAAGCAGAACGACGTAAGTAAATGATCTGTGTCTTTGGTTTTAAAGCTCCTCCAAAATAATGTCAAATGCTTAGACTTTCATGTAGAAATGAAATTTATTCCCAACATCAATATCTATTGGAAGACTCTAGTCTCTCGCGTCGAGACTGTTTGTAATAATGTGGTAGTCACGATGTCCCGACCCAATCCCTCCGCAGTATTTAGTACTTTTCCTGTCACGCGATCACCGACCAGTTGAATCGCAAAGCTGACACTACAGGAAAAGGCGCATTTATAGGATAGGCGGAATTGATCTCCTTCTGCGACAGTTAAAGTGTCGATTACATGAAGCTATAAAAAATGCCATTTTAGAAAAAAATGAAAAAACGAGTGAAAGAAGTAAAGAAATAATACAAATGAATAACAACCTCGTTAGCAGGTTCTTCCTTCTTCTTGCTTCCTGAGGTCCATAGAGGAAGGGGGGGAGGGGGGGGTAGTGGTAGAGATACCTCACTGACTGATTGATTGAATGAATGTATAAATGAATAAAGTAATGAATGAATGAGGGAATGAATATATGAATGATACAGAAGATACATGAATCAAGCAATGCAGTAATCTCGTACCCAGGCCAAATATAGACCGCTCGGCCGCGGAAGGTCTTACAGAAGTAAGAGAAAGGTACGAATCTAATAATGTGGAGAACCCAATAATTAACGCAAAAAAAAAATGGCTGGAAAGGATAAAAAGCACTGAACTGAAAATACATTTATTCATTTCAAAGTACATACATCCTTATCAGGCAAAAATGTTCAAGCTGGAATTAAACTCGACATTTACAAAATTTAGTTACAAAAATTCAGTTATTGTGAAAAAACAGTCACTTCTCCAGATCAGTTAATACTATGTTCATGATTTTCAAAACTTTTGATTAATATCTTTTTTAAAATTATTAGTTATCTCCCAGTATCTTTCTCCTTTCTAAGAAAGTATAATGTCACTATGATTGTATACAAATGCTACTTTATATAACTTAGAAATAGATAAAATAATACTCAACAGCGCATTGTTACGTACGCCGTTTTAAATAAAACTTACACACTGGATAATGCTTAGAAAAGAAATAACTCTTTTCTCTTTTTCCCTTTTATATTATTTTGTTTTTCCCAATTTTTTATAACAGATTTATTAACGTATCACTAAAGACATTGGCAGGAAGATGCACGCTTCCAGGCCTAACTGAAAACAGAGAGCCTCACTAATTTTCTCATGAAAATCTGAGAAACCCTCTTAAAAGTGCAATGTTCCATTACGAAACGAAAGCGAATAACCAATCAAAGCTGTCACACACACTCAGAGTAACTCGTTCAACCAGGAATTTTGTTTGAAAAAATAACAAATGAACATAGAATGATTCTCGTTCTTAGTTATCTATTAATATCAAACTGACCGGTTGTTTGGCCGAAAAAAATTTTTTTTTCAGGTTGTCGTGAACTATTTTTCATAAATTGAAATACAGTAATCACATTTTTGTTCGAGGAACTGTCTCAACAAGAGTTTTTTTGTTGACTTCATTTGTGTGGTGAGTTCTTTGTTATGAACAACACTGTAAATGGATGGTGTACGATCAAATGGCACTCCAAAATCTTCAGAGCTTGTCCTTTTTCGGTGACCCAGATTATATTTCGGCCCAGGCTTTCCGGCATTGTCCGAGTAGAGCTGGGGACCTTGGTCTGAACATGCCATGGAGTGAGTGTGCCATTGGGCAAGGTACGGTCGCGCGTGCGATTTCGCGGAATGTGCGACCATCCAGAACGAGAAGGAACGACTTCTTGCCACGAACACCTACTACAGAGGAGATAATAACTCCTTCATCTTCTGATTCAGCTCCGGGCGCTGGTACAAACACAGGCTCAGATGGGAAACAGTGGCGCTCATGCCAAATTTTGGCTTCCTTCCCTAGGACATCTACTTTGATGAGCTGGTTTAGGAAGTCCCCGCGTTGGTGAGGACCAACTCCATACATAAACCGGTAAGGCTTGCCATTGGCGAAGCGATAATTAATCTGGGGTAACTCCACCCCGTAGTACAGCACTTTGTAGTCTCGACCGTCTGAGTAACTGGGCAGTCTCTGCCAGGAACTGGATGAGGCGGTTTTAGGAATGGGTAAGCGATAGCGACGGAGAGCTGGATCAGGGAAGCCTTTGCTCACTTCGTGTTCCCCCTTGGAGCGCAAGTGATGGAGGTAGTACTGATATACAATGCGGGCGTCAGGGTAGCAGCAAACGTCCATTATGATATCCGTTTCTGTCTCGAAGGCGTTTACGTGATGGAATGAGAAGAAGTTCTCCGTCTTGTACTGAGCCACTACTTTACCTGTCTTACGATCAATGACATAAAACCTGGAGGGCTGCTTGTTGTCCCACTTCATGCACTCGTGGAAAGATCTTCCTCTCATCTTCATCGTCAGGAGTGCCCACACATTCACAACGAACGGGTTTTCGATAAACACGAAGTAGTTAGGAGTCATGGCAAAACTGTGGTAGTAGCAGAGCCGATTTTTTGGGGTGAAAGTGGACAAAACATTTACCCCCTGAAGTGGGTGTGGCGCAGTGTCTCCAGGGGTGGTGGGTCGTGGTGGTATTTGTGTTATATTGTAGCGAGTTCCATTTTTCAGAGAAACAGCAACGTTATACACATTTCCTTCTTCGTCCTCGTGGGGATGAGGTGTCATGGAAAACATTCGCACGGGACCTGAAAGATGACGCAGGTGTGAAACATAGCATACAGCAGGTTATAATTGAGTAAGGTATAACAAAACCAAAATAGTCAAAGGGAGAAACGACAAAGTGTTAAACATAACCAAACGCCAGTGTGAACTAGATGTAAATACATGTAAACCGCCTCAAGGGTGGGAAAAGGTCAGACCCAACATGCTTGTCTCAGTTTCCCTTATTTACGTCTAAACCACTACACGGGATATCGATCGTATTTTCTTTTCCCAAACCAGTGATCTGCTTAAGCTTTCTTACTCGTATTACTACTGAAAGAGGAGCTAATCATCTCCAAAACACGAAAATTACAAGAAAGTTGTGTCTTGTAATAATTTTACCGCAAACTGCGGTTATTTCGAGTGCTTGTTATTATTCCCCCTTAAAACTCATCGAACACACTTGCAGAATAGAGAGAACACTTTAGGATATTTATCCTATTCCTTAAAAAAGAACATCAGAACCACATAATCTTTAATTCTAGTTTTGTGGCAGAAAGTTGTCAGTGAGCCAAATCAATGAAAAGTTTCATCTTACATGATAAAGTTTGAAAACGTTCATCAGTCATAAAGCAGTTAAACCCTAACAGTGATAGACAATTTTGTACATTGTATACCATTCGCTCTCAAGTGAAGTTGGAAGAAACTGATACATCAGCAATCAAGGAAATTTTCCTTTGCAGTTTCATCTTGTTAAGTTTTGCCTTGAAGAAATAAATCCCTATTCCGTGTATGGTGAAAGAATGATTCAGGGTACATATAGGGCTCAAATTCAATGACTTAAAATAAACTGCCTCGACAAATTAAAAAAATAAATAAAACGAATGAATAGTAAAGCTACATCTTAAATGTTGAGTGCATGGAAGAAACGAGAAGAAAATCAAACTGTTAAAGAAAGTAGTTTTGCTGTGAACAAAATCGTCTTAATCGATCAGTGGAAGTTCCGTTCGTGTTTAATCAGGTCAGATAAAACTATTAACGAAAGCTCATTTCATCCAAAGTCAACAACCTACAATGGAACACACACTGTGAGTAATTGAAAACAAAATGAAATAAACCAGCGTGCAAGTAATGGTTTTATCTGCGGGACTTATTGTTTTAAAAGAGGCCATTTCCGAAATATGTCTCTTTTATATGTTTACCATGCGTGCTGAGGCAACCTGGGAATGCAGACAAAAGATTTATCATTGAAACTGTGATCTGATCAGATTTGCACTAAGGGGGAATATCAAAACAACTTAATTACAATAATGGAAACATGAGAGCTTTTTCGTATCTCGGACACGCAAGACATTCCACAAAAAAATTACAGTAAATGAATGATTGAAATTCTTACTAGACACCTTCAAAGTCTAAAACGTTTTTGCCTCTTTCGAGGAAATGTTTTCTTCTTATATGAGAGAAAAAATCCCTTTTTCATGAAAAAAATCTAACTTTTTTTATTAAACATTGATTTTCCATACTATTCCATGCAAGATACTACAGTTTTACTTATCGGAATGGTGATATCTCTTTGTGCTTTGCAGGATCGATATCTCCCTGTTTTTTGAACCGAAGGTCATAAACTCATGCAGCGTTTTATCTAGCTATATTTCATTTCTGTGGGAGCTTATTGTTTGCCAATTAATGAGAATCCGTAACCGCCAAAATTATCATGTTCACAGTTACCCTCGAAGATGCTAAATTTTGGCGACCGTCCGAAACGCACGCATAATGTTCGAGTTGCCTTACTGCATCTACAGTAATTTTCTTCTGGAGCGAGTGATTAGATGCTAACACTCTATCGAAATTATGGTAAGTCTCTTTCAGGGGTGCAGGGTGATTTAGAGATCGTTAAATATATGACAATAATTAAAAAGAAAAATAGAGCTGGGAAGACAACGAAGAGGAAGGAAAATCGACTTTTTTATGGTTACAGCAATTAACGTCAGTTTCTTTTGGTGGAAAAGTCAGTTAGCCTCGGTGAACTTCCAAACTAAGCGAAGAACTCTGTTCTTACGAAATAATTGCAATTCACATCTTGCATTTTAAGATGAACCCCTGGAGAAATCAATTGTTCCTTCCCATTTTATTTTGATGAACCAATTACTTTGGAGCTGATATTATACCACAGAAAAAAAAAAGTGCGCCCTCTCAACATGACAGAGAAATGTTTATTTTACACAAAGGTGTGCTGGAAATATTTTGATGACGGTATTAAAGTAAAAAGGGTCAGAGATAAAATAAAACAATCGTGTGTATGAAGTAGGAATTTCCTGCTGTTAAAAGAGAACAATTTGCCAAAAAAAAAAAAAAAACGTTTCCGATAACAAGTGATTATCACTTGTGCCAAGATTGATCATTAGGTACATCGCTAGCATGAAACGAAGACTTTGCCAAGAATTGTGTCTTTTTTTAAACATGACTAAGTCAAAAGTTCGCGTGCACGTGAAAGATTGTCACGAAATTTCGTATAATTCATGGGAAGTACCCCAGTATTCTGGGATTTAACTCCCTTTATAATAAATATAAAGAAAGTAAGGGCTTGGCATCAATCAACTTTTCCGCGGATTATGACATGTGGTTTGAGTCAATTTATTCACGGAGATCGTTTAACAGGTTGATGAAAAAATTCTGATTATTTAGTTTCCGTTTGAGACTCCAAAGATTCGCGACGACCATTCAAAGACCGTTTAACGCGCGCTCACATACAAATGTAACTAACAGGTGTACATTTGCGCGAAGCCTAGTCATTTTTATACGACCTCGTATGTCTGATGGGAAGCTGAAACGAAAGCATGAGATGCATTCACTTATAAATGACAGGAAACGCATTTCATAAAACTAAGAACGCCTTTAATCTTTGTGACGTGCATTCTCATCTCAAGAGAAGTGAGGAACTCAGAGGGAAAAACTGAATTGATGTTTGCGTGACGTCAATCAAATCACAATTCTAGCGAGTCCGAACCTGCATAAAAACTGCATAAAAAGTTCCTAAAACTCTTGTATTACACCTAAAATTTCTAAAAACTGCTTGCTGATTAATATGTAGAGGGACTTCGGAAGATTTTCTCAGCGAGCTACAATAATGTAAATGATATCTGAGACGCGAATGATATAAACTGACATGCCTTTCAGCAAACCAAACAAACTGTTTTTAAAACAGAAAGTCCTCTACGATTGTTGCACGCAATTGTATGTGAAAAAGCTGTCACCCGCCCATTATAAATTTCAGCCAAACGTTGACGGACAGGCTCAAAAGCTGAGACAAAGAATCAAACAAACAAGCTTTTCTGAGCAGTCAACTATTTGGCCACACGTGAAGCTAAGCTCTGTTATTAGGAAGATTAAATGATGCTATTGAAAGCAATCTCTCGAAATTTTGGTTTCCTTCCGGTTTCTGTTGTCAAAAGCGATAACAAATAAATAATCTTCCTTCTCGTTAATTATACCTCACAGTGTTCAGTCTGTTGTTTGGAAAGTCTTCTAAATTCAATGTTTTACTTCACATATTGAGGCTCGTAGCCTAGCTGTCTGTTGAACGGAAATGCGTTTTTTTTAATACGGAAGTGAAAAAAGCGAGTCACTCATTAAAGCTTTCGAGCAGAGGTTTTTTCACTCGCAGAAATTAGAACAGTAATAATCTCTTCTTTTGCGTAAAAGCTATATCTGCTCGACTTAAACTGCAGATCAGACGGTTGAAATATAAAGCAGTTTGACAGACTTTTCGTTTATAAAAATAAGTCATCATGCTCAGATTAAGACCACATGTTAAGAACAATTTTTATGTAAATTTTGGTTCTCGGTCCGCATAAAAAAAAAATTGTCTCTAACTTTTGCCAGGTAATTAATTTTTTAAAGGAGCTCGCTCATAAACCGGACTAGACCGAAAAATATTTTTCAATTCGTTACATTCAATTCAATCATTCGGTCTTAAACGCCCACAGAGTAAAAAAAAAAAAAAGTATTATGGAAAACCTTAATGCAAGCAGTATTATGAGACTATCATCTTGATCAAGAGACTTTTGTTGAGCTGAGTTCATAAAATCCTCTTTGGCTTATTTTTATCAGGAAAGTGGTGCTGTCTGATGTATCAGAGAGAAAGAAGAATTTTAGTTTTTCCTGTTTTGCCTTGTGAAATTCCAATAGTATCATATCAGATCATTGTATTTTTCTTCCGGCGATTTGCAGTGCACAAGGTTTGTCATGGAAAACGCACGAGTTCATCTTGTGATTTCTGTAACTGATAAAATGACCAGCAAATATGTTTTTACGTAAAAAGAATCTTGACCTCGCTGGTCTAAAGTTCGGCTATCATGCTCTTCAACGTCACTTCTTGAGATACTTTTCCTTACACGTTCACGTTTTCAGCATTCCAAGCTGAAGGTTCTTGTTATCTCTTTTCCAAACAAACGCTGGATATTAAAGAAAAGGTATTTCAACTTTGTCATGAATCTGCTATCTTTGCCCCTCATCCAATCAAAGCAAGCTACATAATTAGTGTATCTGAGAACAAAATGTACTCAGTTTACAAATGATGAAATCGTGAACGAAACCATGACTCATCAATAAAATGAGTACTTTCTCTCGGTGTGTGTTCTTACATAACCATTTTTTTTTTACATAACCATTTTTTCAGAAACGTAAGGTCAATTTTGCTTTTTATATTCATCTCTAAGAAACTATCTCGCTCTATTATCCTTAGTCAAAATGAAAAGTCCTATTTCAACATGCTACAACTGTAAAATATTTTTCCTTATCCTCACGACCGTTCACTTGTCAAAACCTCTCTTGAGCTCAAAAGACCCTCGACAAAACCACATCTTTTAGCTTACTTTATCCTAAATTCGACAACTTTTTTTAGAAAACAGGACGACGAGTTTTGAAACTTTCCTGTTTTACATAGCAAAAGTTTACCGATTCTCCCTCAAGGTGGTAAAAATATACGCGATTTTTTTCTCTGTTGAATGTCCTGTTATTGGATGCGGTAACGTTTTCTCAGACACATATTTCGTGCGAATCTCCACAAATTCACACTACGGTTTTCCTTTGTTTTTTGTAATCGGATTTAAAAATACACCTTTAGGATATCGACAGAGGTGTCTCTTTAGCTGCTTGGAAGGCCTTCCGCCCGATGCAGTAAGTTTCAAGTGCGAACATAAACAGCAAAAACTAAAACAAAAGATCTTGTCAAGTTCAGCGCGCGATTCGCACCCCAGCGAACATCTCACTGGGCGGTGACAGTCTGAATTCAGCACCCAACAGCTGTCATGGGCGGGAGCAAGGAACGCGTAATCGTGTTAATTTCCTTGTTTTGGTTTTTTGTGAGTTTCTGGAACTATCCGAAATATAATTAGTGTGGGACGAAAATATCTATTCCCTGCATGGGATTATATTCCTCCAGGAATGCCAAACAAAGTTATATTCTGATTTGTTTTGGCTCTCTTCCTTTTTCTTCTAAAATAAGCGGTTCCCTTAAAATTATGATTTAAAATGAGTTAGAAATACCTGGGAAATCGCTCCTAATGTTGTACTCCGACAACGCTTGCAAGCTGCTTGGATCAAACCCGATTAGGAATGGTGAGTCACTGCTTGCGTATGTTTGGCCGTTCATTGTGACGACGTTAATGGAGCAGTTGTCCGTGCGTTCGGGCGGCACGAAGTAAGAGAAAAACCGTGCGAAGATATTCTTGCATGGATCGGGTGGTAATGGTGTTCCAAACTCAGCATAAGCGATGCCACGACGAGCTTCGGCACGGACAAATGCTTGGCTGCGTAAGTAGCGACTGCAGTAAGTCACTTTGCCATTTTCTACCTTGAAATTCTGAATCATTCCTAAGCCATCGAACCAGTGCTTGTAGGCTTCGGGTCCGACTTCGTACATGGCGGGGCCATTTCGTAACAAGGACCCGTTCAGCCAAGGAGGAATCACACCGCGGATCTCGGCTTCAACTGGTTTGATCTGCTCTCTGACTGTTTGGTAGAGTTCTTCCATTTTCTTCTTTTCGTTGTTCGCAGTAGGTAGCCCAATACGCAACTGATAGATTTGAGGATTTGCACGGTATTTATGTTCGTTGAACGTTGACCCCTGTAGTACACAAATGAGTGATAATTGATATTAAATAACATCCGATTTCCTTAGAAGTCGCTTCGCACCCCCAGCGTGAGTGAACATTTCAAGGCATATGTAACGTATACCATAACTAAAAGAAATATCTTAGTCGTAAGACGGATAAAGAAACTTCAGAAGAGTGTTTTTAAAGTGAAAAGTACCACTCAAGTTTGAAAATTAACACCAGCGATTGATAAATAAAGAAAACAAATGGGTGAGCGCCCTTTCCAGAGGATAAACAACTAGTATCTAATGCACTCATTACGAAATGGCGATAAACTGCAGCAATAAATACATAGTGCGTGTATCTGTACAGAAATCATTTTGGATTGAGACGCAATATTTTACTTTCTAACGATTATGAAATGTCTCAATAGAATCATCTGAGAAAACGTAGGAAACTTTAATGGATAGACTGCCTTTTGAGATGACAAATGCTCGATGACAGAAGCCACCCTTTGTAAGATCATCCACTATCAAGTTCTTGCATTAATTGACGTCATATCCTTGGGGAAACATCCCTGTTATACTCCGACACCATTTTGACGCCTCGAACGTGTTCTAGTCAACGTGATTACAAAATTTTGTCGATACCGCATTTTACACGTCGTCGGTAAGACCACTTCTCTGACGTTGCCGGATATTTTGAGGCGACTGGCTCTTCACCAGTGGTAACTTTAAATCATTGTGAAACATTGAAAAGATCATTCAAATATTGGTATTGGCGAGTCCAGTTAATTAGTGCCGAGGATACTTGGACACCAGTTTGACGCTTCAAATGTGTTCTTGTTGACCTTGTTACATTCTTTTGTCTAGACTGTGTTCTACACGTTGTCGAGGATACCACAACTGTGACATTGCTAAAACGGATTCGAGCTACTGGCCCCTAAGCATTCGAAACATGAAACGCTACAATCGAGAAGGATAGTTGAAATACTATTGGGTCCGGATAAGTCTAATTTACGACTGAAAAAGACGCGCCAGCGTCAAAAGGTCTATTGATTAAGTTTTGGTTATGAAGAGGGGGTACTACTGTTACATATGCCTTTGTTTTTCCCTGGAGTTCGTCACTTGCTTTTAGTGTTTCCTCTTCTTCATCCTTGGGAATCCTTTTTCCTTCTCGGCTTATTTTGTTTTCTTCGAATAGAACTGCACAGAATATTTTGTATTACCCTTTAGATTGAAAATATTTTGGTATAGTGCTTCAAAGAAGTTAGCCAAGCAATTTAACTTGTTCGAGAGAATTGAGTGATATCTCTTGTTTTCATCTGCTTCCTCTAATTGTTTATTTTTACTGAGTTCGCAATCACACACTGAAACGTTTGACTGCTCCATGTTAATCTACATTGAACGACTCTGAAAACGTCGGGACTTTCTTGTGCTACGACATCACTTGATTCATCACTTGATTCATCACTTGTTCTCAATAAATTACAATACATTCCTCCATGTTCGGACGTTTATAAGACACTTGTGTTTCAATCAGAAGTGGTTGTAAGAGAATATCAAGATATCTTGTTAAAGATTGTGAAACATTCTACGAATATCTTGGAACAGGTGGTAAACAGTTCCAGTATGGTTACACAAGTTATTAATCTCACGTGCGACAACAATACGACATGTGAAACTCATCTGACAAGCTCTGTATCCACAGGACACACATCTCAAAAAGACATTGACTACAAGCTCTAAGAACTGATATCAAGAGAATAGACATACCAATCCTTGTACCACTCATTCAATGATCAATTAGTAACTTACGCTTTGTCACAAAGTGTCTCCTACTCTCTATGCATTTTCCACCACGCGCACGAAGCCGAGCACGATTTGATTATCCTTGTTTTCGCAGCCGCCTTTCTATTGTTTCCCGAAGGTTACACCCCCAGCCCGCCTCTATGTCAAGCAGCTCAAGATTACTGTTATAGTTTTCTGTTTTGAGGTATATCACGCCAATAACTCGATCTGCCATCTAAATTACCGTTAAATTAAATTCGTTAGCCTAATTTTTTTTGGCAATCCGTTTTAACCCTTTCTTGAATTAGTAATCCTTGTTATTTCACAGTTTATCACTGCCTCTGCTTTGTTTTTCTATCCTTCCAAGCCAACACTCGTCTTCTTGTACCAGAACAAGAAGGAAAAGCACGGTACCCTGACTGAGAATGGCTAATGAAAGGCCCAAATCTTTACGAGATTCTCAAACTCCAATGTGTTGAAAACTGAACACCTACCGTTTGCGTGAAGCAGAGATTTCAGTTGGAAAGATTTAAGCCTCAATAAGCCAATGAAACATCGGATGAAGTTCTGCCTATCACTTAGGCTCAAGAACACAGGAAACAGTCACCAAAAGTATTTCAAAATTTGAGACTATGCGGCGCTCGTTAAGTGATGTAAAATCCCACTAATACAGTTCTTAAAGTAAGCAAAACGCCTGTTTGTCTAGTTTGTCTAACCTGGAATGTGTGAGGTCAAAAGTTTGTTTTGACAAAAGCCACTCATATGATCATGGTACAATAAACGATGAGGGGGTAACTTAGAATATTCAGCAGCTTGACACGAACACAAAAAGGGTACTTTCTTCATAACACAATCATGCGGCGAAAGTACGTTCTTTATAACACATTTAGGTGGCGAAAGTAGTTTTCCGAAGCCATTTCCTATCAACGCAGAAGGGGATTTCCCGTTCAATAGGCGCACATGAAAAAGGGAGATTGAATCATGCCTAAAAGTGTGCATTAATTCCAAAGTTGTGTCCCTAGAAGAATAACTGTGTGTCGGAAGGCTTTTGTGTCAGAAATCTAGAACGATCAGCTTTTAAAATCTCTTATTAAAAACACAGTTGTTTAAGTCGCCCAAGGAGAAAAAGGTCTCCTGTCGCTCCCAGGCTCTGAGACTAGTCAGAACAAAACCCTGAATTCTCTTTAAGCATCACGCTGAAGTGTGCTAACAAATGTTCAAAGAATAATAAGTGCGTCAAGCTTCCTAAATAAATACAAAATGTGAAAGAAACGGCAGCGAAAAAAAGATATTTTTAAAAACCTTGCCAAAAGGTGATTGGCATGTTCTAGTTAATTCTGTTTAAAAAGGGCGTAAATCTATCGGATAATACAAATAAATACAACATTCACCTCTAAATTGCACGTCTGAAAAGAAATTTTATTAGATTATTCACTTCCGGTTTGATAACTAAAATTTGAAATTACACCCCCTCAATGTTTTTTATCCGCTAACAGGACAGGAGGGATTTTTCTGAGTTTATCTTTTCGAGAGTGGGATAAAAGGATTTATCATCAGTAACTATACCAGTAATGAGCTTTTAAGAGAATGGCAAGTATTCGTTTATTAAAAGAGAACGTTAATTTATCTTTCAGCCCCCGTGGCAGAGGCTTATTTAGTACTGTTTATTGAACTGAAACTACCCCGCGCATGTAAGCACTTTGTACTCAGATGGATAAGCTTTTAGTTATTCTCGAAGTTTCACACTACTGTTAGATAATTGAATGTAAAATTACGACGAGCATGTAGCGGCTTCTCAAAATGTTTCCTTCAGCCTACATAGCTCTCTTCTAGCCAAGCTGTAAATTTGATTTTGAAAGCGATACAACGGCATAGATATCTAGGTACGTCATGGTTTAGCATCGGGGAAAAATTCCCGATTAAATAATATATCAGGTTGTTCATTTGAAATCTACGCCAATCTCCTTTAATTCTCCTCCTCAAATAAATGATTCAAAGTAATTTTACGCGTCGCCGAAAAACACTTCTCAAAGTAACGTTGTTCATAGTTAAATTTCGCTTGCAAGGTTTTAAACCACAAGTTAACGTACACACCAGATTTGGTTATTGTCAGTGCTGTGAGAGTAAGTGATTATTCCCCAATTTTTTTTATTTATGTAATTCGGAGATATTCAGGCTAATCCAGGCGGTATTCATCATTCAGTTGACCCAGGTCTTACATGAAATTCCAGTAATTATTTATGCTACGTTGTTTGTATAAATCAGCTTAATCATTAGCTCTCTGTCAATACTAACGCTCCAATTATAAAGGCAGATGGACAACAAATTTCATAGCCCTATGGTACATTATTTCGTGAAAAGATCATTCATTTTTTATGACGAGAAATCACAACAAAACACAAGCATAACTTTCTTCTATAATGAAAAATGTAAATAAAACAAAGAGTAGCTTTCTTCTGTAAAATAGAAGCTAAAACTGAAAGAGTATGGTTGGGAACCGGCGAGATTGATGTAGATTACGAACGCTTCGACGCTGACAAACTCAAACCCTTCTGAAGTCTTCACCGCGCGTTTCATGTGAACAGCACGTGTTTGAAAAAGCAAAACTGAAAGCGATGACTCGGCAAAATTTGAAAGTGGTGGAAAGGAAGTAAAAGAAAGCGAAAGTGCCGATGATGAATAAAGAAATGGTTAAGTTTTTCCGCGCTTTTTGAATCATTTGGTTCTCTAATTGTTCATGACTGCCAAAATACTTCATTCCTTAACACAATTCCTACTAAATTTGACTTGCTCCACATGAACTTCGACCAAATCCAACTAATTAAAAAGGAAAAACATTCAGCAGCGAGACCAAAAAGGGAAAAACAGCTAAAGTTCTTAACGTCTACTTTCAACCGTTTGTACTCAAAAGCTGAAATATTTGAAGTCACTATGAGCGAGACGGAGAATTTTTCAAAGCTATCTGCGGTGTTGATTTGAGGATTAGAGGAAAAGAAATATTATCAGAGTTAAGTTTTTCCGTTTTCCGTTGCCGTCAACCATGCGCCTAAGCACAACTGGATATTTCATTCGTCTCAGCTGGGTTTCTACTCTATGTTCACTTGCTCGGTAAAGTTCTGATTACCTGAGCATTACTTGAAGTATTTTCT